CTCCTACTTAAAGATCGGCATTCATTTAAATACCAATACATTAGACTAATTAATGAGCAATTATATTTTTATAGATATAATTTACTAATTCTTACGTAAAGGGTATGTGAACCAGCATGATTGACTAGAGGTTGCATGTACATTATGTAATCTTTAAATATTGCTTAAATATCGAATATGTGGACAACATTGATTGTATGAAAACAAGAATGATGATAAAATGTTACAACGTATTTCCCTTTCAGAGTATTTCACGCTGATTTGCCTTTATTTCTAATCTTTTTTTCATAGTCGAATATGACTAAATGACTATATTTATTTTTTTCCGTACATAACTCGGCTTTTCTTGCAATAGTACTGTATATGTATCTCCGAAACATTTTACATGTTCTAGCAGTTGGAGTTTAAACCAATATTTCAAAATGAATTATATGTATATAACGAACAAAGTTCAAGCTGAAAATTTCATTAAGAAATCAAATACTGAAGCAAAATAAATACGGATCTCTAAAACATCAGTGATGGGATCGAATGAAAAGAGGAAGTAAACATTCCTTTGCCACTTGAGCCGGTCTTGTGCTCTTTTTTTAACCGCAGAAGTTCACTTTTTTTTCTTTTTACTACTTTGAAATCACACATTTTCGTAGGGGTTTAATTTTCGTGGTTTTCGTGGTGTGAGCAGACCCACGAATTCATGTCCACCACGAAATGTAAATGTGAAATACATTACTACTCAACAATTCTGCATCCACGAAATAAAATCTCCATGAACCAAGAATTTTTCCTCAAACCACGAAAATTTGACACCACGAAAATATGCGATTTTACAGTTTATAAACAAGCAGTGACGGATTTAGGAGATTGGGGGTCCGTCCAGCCCTCCAACCCCTATTTCGTGTCCAAAATATACAGCAAAACTCGGTTAGTACGAACACGGATATTGCGAATTTACGGATATAGCGAAGTCATCTTGGATCCCCAGCTATATAAATTTAATCAATTTCTTATACGGTCATAACAATTTTCGGATATAGCGAAGTAATTTCATGGGTCCCAGTGACTTCGTTATAACAGAGTTTTGCTGTACATTAGATTTAAGTATTATTTTTTAAGTGTAGCTGTAGGCCCCTTTCCTTAAACTTGTCTCATCCCCCCCCAACATACGAAAAAATCATGACAATTTGATCCACGACTGAGTAGGTTTGTGTTACCAAGCTTTCTATAAAGAATTAAATTTAAATTTACTATACAAATGCTTGCATCCAAATTATATATTTTAAAAAAAAAGTTTTCCATGATACCGAGTTTAATATACGCAGAAAATTACATGTAATTAGCACATAATACAATACGCACGCTGACTATCGATTCCCGGCTATATTTTGCAACCATTTAGTTTAATATAAATTGCCATTTGTCAAAATAATCTTTGTTTAATACAAAGAACAGTTCAAGGAAAATTGATGAATTGTCTGAATAACAGCGCTAAATAGTAAATTAGCTTTCGAAAAAAAAGGGGGGGGGGGTAGACGAAAGTTTTATTGAAATATGCCTTTCAGGCATCACCAAATTTTTAAATAGTCTTTTTTATCTTTTTTAAAATGTTTTAGGCAACTAAAATAACATAAATATATTAATAAAATTTAATGCTTCATTTGTAAATTCTTTTGGGACTGATGAAAAATAAACATTTTGTCGGTTTGGTCAATAAACGTGTCAACCCCCCCCCCCCCCCCCCCGTATCCTCAGGGTTTTAAATGCAATATTCAAGAGCATGTTCGCAATTTTAATCACTCAAGAAGTAAAATTACATATTTATCTAAAGGAATCTTCAGAATGCCAAGCAAAGATCGAATTTAATACGGACCTGAGCGTAAACATAGACCATGTGGTTTAAAGAAACAGAACCATTAATTTTATAAGTTGTTGTGCTATCGAATTCTTTTCATTTTTTTACCTGAAAATAGTTTTATTTCAAATTGTCTTAATCCATTGGTAATATTCATCTTAGAAGAATAAATTTCGATAAGCCGTTTGTCATTTTAATCTAAACAGATAAAGTAATAATGGTAAAATACGAAAATTGGTTATTTTTCCCCCGGTTTGGTTATGACAACTGCGATAATTTCAAATAGGCATGTTTTCATCTTTTGTGCAGATCAAATATACATGAGAAATCCAGTGAAAACCCATAGAAGAAAAGAAATCATTTTACATGCTGTTATTGTGAGCTCAGTACTTTGTAGCTCCTTCAGAGCATGACAGTCAGTAAAAATAATAAAATGCCAAATTTGACACTTCCTGGTGGATGTATCTTGGGCTTGTTCGATAATGTTTTCTTCATTTAAAAATGAAAAAAAAAGCTTATATAAAGAGCGCAGTATGACAATACATTTTTAATGATAAGGCGACATTCAAAGTATACAATTTTCATTTTTTCCATTTAAAATAAATTCTGCCAATTGAGTATCCTGTTTCATGATCAATATTAGTCTAATGAGAGTTTATAAAAACAATATACATATACTTTGAAATTCATTTAATACTGTTTTGCTGAAACCTGAATACCTCTAAGCTGCTTTCCGTGCATTTTTTTGTAAATATACACTGAACCAAACTTCTAAGTGTTCACCTAACATTTTTTAAGTTTTAAAGAACAAATGCGAACAATAAATAATTTCTTGAATTCTCGGTTAATGATGCATATTTAAGTTCGATGTTGCGTAAATTTCATTTAAGTATCTCGTCAGAAATTTTAGATTTTAGCTTGATCCCGATACATAATGGAGGGATAAAAAGAGAATGGGACACATATATACCACCTGAACTTGACTGGACTGTTTCTATCCAAGAAAATGTTTTTTTTTCGCACATTATTTGTGAGCAAAAATGAGCAAGCCCCTTGCCTTAATAACCAAAATATAACAATCCAATTATTTCATAAACATATTTTAGTCAAATCTGTCATTCTTATTAGTCCGTCATTACATTTAAGAATTCATTCGCATTTACCCTACCATAATCGTTTAAATTGCAGTGTATATTTGCTAGTATAGAATGATTTTTGCATTATTTAATTTTTCTACAAATATGTAGTCACGACTATTAAAAGTTCCTTACAAAGTAAATTCAACGTATTTTGTAGTATTTTTGTTCTTATTGGTGTTTATTTACTACAGCATTTACAATAAAAAAAAATATTGGTTATTATGACCACCAGTACGTAGAAACTAATACGAGTCAGTACATAGATAGAAAACAAAAGTGTTTAAATAAATATTACTTTAAAAAGTTTTTACACTATACTAATTATATACAGGATATATCTTTATCTTTCCATAATTAAATTGCATCAAATATTCCATCAAATTTGCATGTTCAATAAAACATTTGACAATAATTGATATCTTCAAGATTTTGTAGATATTAATTATTAGTGTTGCAGTAATATTTCGTAATGATGGTTTGATGCCAATAGTTCATGAAAATAATTTAAAGTACGTATTTTCATTGTTCTTGTTGGAAATTCTCTAAAGAAATGTAAAAAAGAGTTGTAAATACAAATAAACAAGTATCTAACTACTCAGAAACCATATACGTTTCATATGCTTGAATGACAATTCCATGACCGGAGGTCTAAGGGATTTTACATTACTAAGGTGAGAGAGAACTCTAGACACTTGTATTTGAAAATCAGACACTGATATATTTATCAATAAGAGTATTTCTTTCGTTGAGATCAAGAAATTGATAAAAAAAAATGATTTCATTAGTGGTACCACAATTAATTACGAGGTTAAAAAATGGTTGAAAATCCCCCCCCCCCTAATGATATGAAGGTTATGAACATCTTGGGGTTGATCCTACCCCCTTGAACTGTGTATGATCACATATGACCTGCATCAATTTCAAAAGTTCAATTATGACAAGATTGCCTGACATTTCATTCATGATTCGATTTTAGTCATATTATGGAAGCAGGGTATTCAATTTCAGATTTGAACTTTTCTAAAAAAAAAGCTTGAAAAAAAATTGTAGCTTTTTCCAAGAACTAGCGAGTATAGTGTTTAGTGTAAGACTCTAAATATCTGGTATTTTTTTCTCTCTATCTGTCATTTCTTTGGACCTTAATTTAATTGTAATAAATGAAGGGTTTTCCGTAGATCAACTGAGCAAGAAAAAAAACTTTTGGAAAAACCTCATAGCATAGTGAAGAATAGATTTATTCCTTCAAACCTTTACTCCATCAGCTTTGATCATGGATTTGCACCAGAAATAGACTTAATTGAGACACTTTGTTTAATTCTGTTTGATTTTCGGCACTAGTGTTTGATTTGTTTGAAAATTGTTGATATGATCAGTAAAAAAGAGTTACTCCTCTTGGAGTTTTGGTTCGATTACAATTAGATTTTGCTCTTTAGGAAGTACTTGTAATTTTTCTTTTAATATGAGAGCAATAGATATTTTAAAATTCTATCTTCGTTAAAACTCATTTTTTTTTAAAATCAAAATAGCCATATGAAGGCCAGGAACAGCTCCCAGTACGTAAAAAGAAGTAGTGTCTACATTTGTAGAAATTTTTTCAGCGGTACATGTAATTATAACCAGCATGCATTCAATCAATAAATCATCTGACACACAAGTTAAAACATCTTAGCATTCGTATCCAATTGTTCCCCATCCTGGCAAAAAGTCGTAACGACTTGTAAAGCCAGAAAACTGCAAAACCTTCAAATGTGAGATCAAGTAAAAATACGACCCACTTAAAAAGGGCCCGACTAGCAAGCTAAGATCTCCATTATATCCCAACGATAACTAAAAAAATTTGAGGTTCAAAAGTATAGATAGTGAATTATCAGTTGATTCTGGTGGTCACATGGCGTAGTATTACAATTTGTATTTCCCAACAGTTTTTTTTTTCTTTGTTCTTTGTTCCTTTTCATATGTTATATAATTAATTTTTTAAAATAAACGCAGATATAACAGTAACACAAGCTGTTTTATTGACAAAGTGTAATCTACGCGTTTCTAAATATGAAATAAAATAATAAAAAGTCACAATTACGATAAAAAATATAACAAACTTTTATATAATAACATTCACCTTCTCACTTGTAATAGTGACAATAGCAAGTTATTTTTTCAACAAGAGGATTAATATTATCCGAGGAGCAAACGATTGAAATACCGTCTTGAAAGAGAAACAATAAACGTGTTATTTATCGACTTTCCAGTAAATATTCGATTTGGGTATAAGTACGAGGGTTGTCCGTAAAGTTCGTGGACAAGCCAAAAATTTAATAAAAGTTGTGTCATTGATATTTATTATTGGCATATTTCTAATCTTTTTCTTAATGTGAGTTGAATAATGTAAAAATTTTTTCCATTCAAATGTTTAATTACAATTATGGCTTCATAATTAAACTTGGAATGGAGGTCGGGAGCACCGCAAAATTTTAACTAAAAAATATTTATCACTTTTTTAAAATTTCATTTGTATTTTAAAAAATTCTTGGGACATCTGAAAGAATTTTACATAATGAGGTTGACAGAAGTTATCACGTCAAACCCGCATAATTTGAACGTTTAAAGTCTCAAAATGGCTGAGCAATCAGCGTTGGAATTTATTAAGGCAGGATCGAAATCGTTCAAAAAAGAGAGTTTTCGGAATAGGTGGAGCAGTGAACAGTGATAAAAATCTGCGTTGACACCGAAAAAACACCTACAGAGACCAAAACATAGTAAAAGAAGTCGGTCACTATAGTATTTAAGTGGCATATAATATTTTCGGACGAAGTAAACAGTTTGCAGAATGATATGCGTGAAGGAAAACCATCATTCCGAGATTGAAGTGCTGTAAAAAATGAATTTCTTAACGTCATCATGACTTTGCCGTATTTCCGTAAATAAAATCGTCTTTAATCGGACATAGGTTGGATAAATAGCAGGATATGAAACAGGCATTGTAAAATATTATTTTACGTATGAAACCTGAACATTTGTACACATTTCATGACTGGTTAAAACGACATAAGAAATGTACTGAGTTAAACGGTGACTTTGTTGAGGAAAGTAACATGAGGATGATGTACTTCTATATTTAGCATTTGACGTCGGGTAACGTCAAAAATTGTCGTTTCAGTGCTCCGGGTATGATTGGATGTCTCTTTTGTATCTGATAAAAATATAACTATTTGTGCTTTGTTTTTGTTGAAAACTTGCATATCTATTAAATGAAACATGAATTTAATGAAAATATTAGTTCCATATATTTCAAGCATAATATCCATTGACTACAACTTCTTGCAAAACCAAGGCATTTTTGCCGCCACTTGCATCGGCGCTTTCTTCTACGGTTATGTAGTTGGGGCGTACTATTTTCACTGTGACATACGTTCCGTACAAGGCTGGCTCTGTTTCACACTTTATTGTGTGATTTTGTCCTGTCTGACTTGGCCCATCGAACCTGCCACAAACTTTCATCTCAGACCATGATGAAGACATTCCTACCCTTATCTCAACGCTGTGCAGCCAGTGACCTGCAATGGTAATCGTTTAGTACAGAAAAACAAACAGTTCAAGGATAAGAATGTTTAAGTCACTTCTAGTGCCCCCTCTGTTCTTTTAAATCTATTCTTCGGAAATGATTTATTTCCTTTCTCCCATGAAACACCATACTGCAGCCGCATCCTAGTTTAAACATTGTAAAAACATTTATTCGACAAAATCTTAAAAGAAAGGCTGGATTGTTGGGTTAAATAAACCTTAATTAAACACATTTAGTACCAATAAACTTGCTCAGAGTTTTAAAATTTTCTATACTAAAACCAGGAACGTTGCCAATGTCCTAAATGAGACTTTTTACACGATTTTTGTTACAAAGTGCCATTGTGCATCTTCTAATTCATATTTTGATTGGACATATGTTTAGGATTTCCCATAACAAAAGCATTGACACAGCTATTCTTTCTATAATAATGAAGAGTACCTATTTCCTATCCGCAACGTCCCCTATCGCCCCTACTAATATGTTCGGAAGCAATCATTTTTCGATGTTCTGCAAATTATAAAAACCGATGAGTTCAGAGTAGATCTGGCAGTGACTCTGGCGAGAGAAACGGGACTTTAGCGAGAGTAAATTATTCACGAAAATGTGGCTAGGAAGTGACAAGCACTTGAAGGCATGGTAAACAGAAAAGTTATGTTGCGTTTCAGTTTTCACCACCCTAGAATCAGCAGATAATGTCTGTAGAAATGTACTGTAAATCACGTTTTATTCGCGAGAACTTTATTTTTGCGTTATTACGCGAGAGGGTATGCTTGCGAAAATTTTATTCTCGCGAACATAAGAATTCCTTAAGATTATATATATATATATATAGAAATGACCACAACTCGTGAAAATTTTATCTCGCTAATTAAGAGTCAATGACTATCTCGCGAAAATTAAGTGATCTACAGTACTTCAAAAAATCTCTTGTACATTCATTCAAACTTACATACATTTGTAAGTATTCTCTATAATTCAATTCTCTGCAGTCATGAATTAAAATTTCTTTTCAGACAAATAAATATTTTTGCATGGGAACTGGGACTATATTTTTTGGCATCAGATTAGCAAATGAGACAACAGCATGATTTAACTGATCAATCAGCTGAAAGAGTATTGCATTATGGGTTACTACAAATACTACAGGAATTTTACGCTTGAAATAGGGAAAATCTTATGGTTACTGAAAAGCATTTTTAAAAATATTATTTTCATGCTCATAATGACAAACCATTCATTTGTTAATTAAACGGCGGAAGTCTAGGTTTCTGAAAGTCATAATGCAAAATCGATTTGCGTCTGTATTACTTCCTTTGTTGTACTACCGGTAAATAAAATTGTCAGATGAATTCTCTGACCGAGCACGTGATCACGTGCACGAACGTAAATTAAGTTTTGTCAATTTAAATGCACGAGATGCTGCTCTTTTTGGTTACACTTGAAACACTGGTGTTCTATACTACATTTTATGAAACATGTTTTTCCATTTAACAACAAATTAAAAACGCCCGTAACATCTTTAATTGCTTCTTATCTTTGTATTTTGTCCGAATGAATATTTTTTTTTAATTTTGCGGTCCATTAAAATGATCGTAGATTGATTTCAACTACGTGTTCGAAGTAAAATGTAAACATGCATTTAGCGTAAACGTTGCCACATGTATTCATTCAACGATTGGTCAGTTGCTCGTGGTAAGATACTCTGTGCGCATGTATAACAAAAGCCCTATTCGGCAAATAAAGGTTTGTCAGTGTATATGATAATGAGCATTTTTACCAGCGTATCGGTCACTAGTGAGCCGAAAAGTATATGATATATTGTTATTTTAACACCCCTTCCTTTATCGACCCTTTTTTTGTTGAAAATCATGAAAGTTTTCCAGAAAGGTATGGAAACATTTATAACAGGACATGTTTTCAAAAGGAACAGGCTATAAAAATATTATGTTTATTGCCAATTTTATTCATAAAACCTGTTCTACCCTATAACTTTTGGAAAGATAAATCTAAGCAATGTGTCTTGAGTTTGAGTCACATTGAGACAATCCGGGAAAAGATATTCCGGTACAAGTCTTGTTTAGTTATGTTCAGGTAGGTGGCGTTATTTTAGCACAGAGACTATAAATAAAGGTGAAGCGGCAAATTAATTCAATTGCGAAGTTGATGCTGAAGCGGCAAGACAAGCGGACCACTTTTGACGAAGGTAAATTTTAGTTAATGATAATAAATAAATATTTAAAGCTTTCAGACGTGACTGAACAATTCTTTCCTGGCTTTATATATTGTGTGTTATTAAAAGAGTCAGTGGGAGCCAGCAAGAGCTGTACTATACAGAAGCCAGAAAGAGCCAAACTGTATGAACTGCGCTATAAGAGCCAGTATCAAAGAAAAGAGATGTAGGAGCCATAAGAGCCGAGCTGTAAGAGCCGATCTCTTCTGATCAGCCAGCATCACTGATTTTCTGTATATAATTCATTTAAGACAAGTAGTCAAACATTTATTTGTATATCTTGCTTAATCACATAATTGTATATATTGAACCTGCCAGGTCCTCAGAAAGTTAACTGAGGGGATTCAGCCGCCTTTGTTATTTGTTATATTATTAGGTTTCCGGCTACAAAAACAACACAAGTAGGGTGCCTATACTGCGGATTAAAATTTTAATTTAATAACCAATGTATGAGCGATGTAATATTCATCGACCGATTACCCTGGAACATCGTTTTATGATTTGCAATGCATCTCTGGGCATTTGTAAGTCCGGCCAGCAATCACGCCATTTTTATAAAAAAATTTAATCAAAAACCGCATTGGTTGCCCATCGTATACCCCATCGCTTAATAATGTGACTGATACTTAAACGCTACTAGACCCATGTGGACCGATGTTGGGTCATCGCTCACACCACGTATTACCAGCGATTACCACCGGTCTACGGCCATGGCCGATAAATGTAACCTAGGCATTAACAAACTACATGTATATATACTTAAAACTAAAGGTAGTGTGAGGTATGAGCTAACTAGATGATAACCCCTCCCCATCCCACATTATCATGGCAAAATTTATGTTTTGCTCTGTGAGGCACGAATTAATCCGATATAAGTGTCAGATCAATAAGTATAGGGTGTGTTGGAATGTGTAGTACATAGGAAATTGAGGCGTTATTTTTTCATTGATTATATAAAATATTTTTTATTGATAAAAAAATAAAATTATGATTAAGCGTTTAAAACGTCCTTAAACGAAATTTGGATGGTAAATTGTTTTTGTCGTACAAGTCTGTCTGTCCTGTTTGTCTAGCTGTCTGTCTGTTTAGCTGTTTGTCCTCAAAAAACTTATACATTGGCCGTAACTTTTAATTTAGAGGAGCTATGACTGTAACATTTCCTGTATACCGGTATATTTCTTCTTACAAGACCTTTCTTTATGTACCGCCAAATTTGACCTTTTGACATTGACCTTGGAGTTTTACCCATTTTTACACAAAAATTTTCAAACTTTTACTTTTGCTATAACATCAGTAGATACCAGGACATTCATACTTCACATATGTTCTTTTTGTAGAATGACCTTTAATTGGATACCAACAACCTTGACATTTTGAGCTTGACCTTGAAAATTTCCGAACATATGATAAAACGTTAACTTTGGTCATAACTTGAACGCGAAAGGGCTAGTGACCTCATACTTCACATATTTAATTCTTGTGAGAAAGACCCTTCATTGGATACCAATAACTGTGACCCTTTGATCTATGAGTTTGACCTACTGTTATAAAGTAAACCTTGATTATAATTTTTCAAGGGTTAGGCTTAGAGCTTTCATATTTTACGTACTTAATCCTTGTGACAAGACCTTTCATTTGATAGCAATATCTTTGACTGTTTGATTTTTTATTTTTTTTAACCTTGGCCATAACTTATGAAGAGTTAGAGCTAGGGCTTCTTTATTCACATATGTATTTTTTGTAGTAAAGCCTTTCATTAGATACCGATTACCTTGTTTTTGACATTGGAGATTTACTATAATAACTTGAAGCTTTCATATTTCAGAATTGTTTTTCCATTGATTTTTTTTAAGAAAGTTTCAATACGGGGGCATCAGTGTTTCACAAACACATCTTGTATTATTTTTTTTATCAGATATGATAATACGAGGGTTGTTCGAAAAGTAAGTGGACGATGTCAATCTTCGTTATATTACTCACTAGAACATAAAATAAGTATAATATAAAATGTAAAAATATTTGTTTTGTTGATGTTTCATTCCAATCGATTTAACAGAAATAAATTTACTCCATTTTAAAATTAACATGTTTTGTACCTGCGGGGCACGCCTAATTGTAATGTAATGTCAAAATATAGTATCAAAATTTCTAAAATATACTATTTCTACACATTTCACAAAGTATAATCCAATGCTAAATTATTAAATCTGTTTTTGTTCTACTTGAAATTATTTTTTTTTAAGAATTGCTCTCGTTGTATCATTTCATTTGTAAGGATTTGGATTTCTTTTATTACTGAACTCTGCTTTCACAGGGTAGGAAGCTCTTAAGAGCCTTTGTCTTTTCTTGACGTTCAAATTTTTAAAAGTTTTTGTAAAGATTTTTACAGATAAACGTTTCTTCACAGATTGTCCGTATCTGATACAAAGTCTTTCTCAACCAAATGCTGTCTTTTCTATTTGTTCACACATGCAAAGCTTTCTTGTGACATATTTTTGATTTCTTTCAATATTTTTTTTTAGTTTATTCTGGTTTTTCAACAGTAAAAGACAACATTGTATTGTTATCGGCTGCTCTGTCGTTTTCAACGTGGGCTATCTATCTTGTCAAGCTGCAAGCTGATTTCTTTTCAAAAGAGCAAAATATTAAGCCATAATATTGAAAACGAATCAATGTAACAATTCTAAATTTGGATTTTTCAGTTGTTTTTCATTTTTGCTTCATTTTACAGAGAAAATGAACACAGAAAACATTTACTGTAGTGTTCGTAACTTACTGAATTTTGACCTGTTCCGCGATCCGATTATTGCATTTTTAAAATCTGTATAAGTGTTTTAAAAAATCGTGGTATTTAAAAAATAAAAGATTCTTTGGATTTACTGTTGAAATATTTCTTCCAAATTTGAATAAGATATGACTTCAAATAAAAAATATATGACATTAGTCCACGAACTTTTCGAACAACCCTCGTACTACCCTATTTTCATCATTGCAAACTAGGTGTCCTGATGAGTCAACACGTTGCCGTTGGACCAACTATAATGTTTTGACTAAGGACTTCTGTTTTTCGTGGATGTCCTATCTTATGTGCACAAATTTGTTTACTTCGATTGATCACACTGAAAATTAAATAAATATATGTACCATGTATGATACTTGTTTTTTTTCCTAAGGGATCATTGTGAATTTTTCAACGCGGCCGATTTGATGCTTTACATCAATTAAAATTTCTTATTTTTGTATTACTCTAAAAGGGGGTCATTTTTCAACGGGAGTCAATTTCTTAGAGGATGCAAACATAAAATGATGACCCCTGACACTCTTTTTCTACATTTTTTTCCCTACGGCTTGGTGGGGGGGGGGGGGTAAATCTTTGTCGCAAAAATGATCCCCGGTCATTATTTGATGGGGACCATTATTCGTCTTTACAGTGGACCGTTATCCATGCGATCAGCTTTTTCATAAATATAAAGATAGAGGACATATTTTATTTTTTTTAATTGGAAATTATGGTGATTACAGTGGCTGGAACGTTATTGTTGACAACTTACACGAAATTTTAAACAAGCAATATAGTAAGTCGTACAATATCAAGTTCTCGTCAAATAGCACGATCAATATTGTGATAAACCGTACTTAGATCTCTAACGCCTTTTTGAAAAATCTGATTTTAATTATTATTTACTTCTTATTGTGGTCAAGATAATCTTGAAATCAATTCATTGAAAATAAATATTTCTTTTACAAAGAAATAAACATTTCTCAATGCTTACATAAACCAAATTTACACGATTCTAAACGTACAATCTCGCACGATTAAATACGCACACGATTGAGTCTGATACACGAACGATCTTGCACGTTACACGAACGATCATTCACGATACACGAACGATTCTACACGATTGGTTTGTCAACAATAACGTTCCAGCCACTGTAGTGAAGCACATCTGAGCATTTAGATCACAGGTCTCATTGTTTTCTACATATAAGAAAACTTCAAGTATATGATTTCAGAATCCTCGATATCCCAATTTACAGTAATAAAAAAAATGGTGTAGAGCCTCTCTAAAGCATAGTTTTTAATCACATCATTTTAAGTTAAAAAGTGACAGGGTATTACCTCGAGAAAGATTCTTGGAGCAATTCTGTGTGTATACAATCCAACGACAGTTGCTTATCAGCCTTTCAATACATTTTACCATAAAAAAATATCATTTCCATCGGTGAACCATTGATATATGCACATACAGAACTTGTTCATTGACGTACTATTTTTTGGAAATAAACAAAATCTTGAAAGATGTTTCAATGAGATGTTTGCAGTGGTCATTAAGAGGACATTAATGTTGCATATTTATACACCAGGTTGTTTGAGGACAACAAGATTAAGATTGCAGAGAGTGGACAAATTGAATCAGAGAAGCACAATTAAGCTCTTGGAACAGATTAGTTTTAAAGGGCAAAATATCTTTAAATGATAGTGATAAAAATAAAAAGGCAATACTAAAACATGTCTTCTAATATACACATTTAACTTAATTGGTTACATGTAATATTGTTTTAAGATAAAATGTTTATTTACCAAGTCTTCATTAGAAAGCAAAAAAAAAAATATTTACCAAGTCCGTCATTTCTATTGTAAAGAATAACGTTGTTGACAATAGAAATTTGTCCAAGAGCAATCGTCAACCATGGGTACAATTCGAAGTAAGAGTGAAATACAAGCTGATCATTCAAACCAATAAGACCATCCACAACACACCTTGGATCCATAGAAGAGTATGGAGAAAATGGAGCTTTCGAACTAAAGGAGATATCCTTTCCAAGGGCAAGGTTTTCAACTTAAAAAGTAAAATTGAATAATTAGAAAAAAAAATACAATTCTAAATGATACATGTAAGGGAATTAAGGTTTATACAGGAAGGCTAACACCTGTGTATTTCCTTTTGAAGCTTGAATACCATGTAAATCTATTACTTTTAAAAACTGTCCTGAATTCTCTCATATTATTTTATGCTTCATAAAGACTGTACTTGAAAATTTTTCCTTCTAAAGTAATAAATATAAAATTGTTTCTTGCGAAGATTATTTTTAATATCAGCAGACACAAATCCCATTTAATTGTTAATTTTTTTTTATTTCAAAGATCTTATATAAGTATACATATTTAAAAAAACTGATGATTGGCACACTCAGACAAGTGGGATATGGAGATAACGAATAGTATTCAATATGAAAGTCCATAAATAAAATAGCAAACACGGACCTTGGAAATATCAGAAGTGCCCTATGGACCGGTCACAACAGCCGTGTGCTCCTTGTTATAATCGGGAAAATCCGTCGTCAACTCAATGTTTAAATAATAGACTATCAATCAGCGTTTAAAAAACGTCAGTCAGTATTTGACTTAATGATAAATTGTTTTTCCTGACAAAGTCACTGTATCAACCATAGATCTTACAAAATGATAACTTTAAACAAGACTGCTGATATTCTTGTTTCGTCACCTTGCTTGTAAAAAACTTACCTCGTTTAAGATTTTTTGCATACGTAGAGCATGGTTTGCTTATTGTATCAACTGAGATATATACACTCTGTATGCAAGTGATAAAGGTATATTGCTGCATAAGTAAGGGAGTGATGATAAAAGTTAAAGTCATCACGTTTATCACAAAGCTTGGTTGTAAGATTACCATTAACGTCTTTTTAAGTAAAATAATCAAGTGTGAAACAGATGTATCCGGCTTTGTGGTGTTCTTGATCTCAAGCTCTACAGTATATATCGTATAGAGGTGGGAATGAAAATTACAATTGTTAATTGACAATATGTCCTCGAGATATCTAAATCATTTCTCGGGAAATTTAGAATTTTAAAGAAGTTTTGTTATTGAAAAGTACTGTTATTATAATTATTAATAGATAAAAGAGTGTCTAACGCAAAGATGTTCACCACCACCGGGGCACCACGTGACTTCTACATTGTATTAGTAGCGAAATGTTCCTCAATAAAAAAGCTAACAGAACAACAATAATGATATGCTGTCACATTGTGAAATGATATTAAATTGATATCCTCTCACAGAGTGACGAATATCAGAGTTGCAGTAAAACTCTCGATTTCCCTTCCCATAACGATGATTGTTGTGATAAATTCTTCCTTGACCTAATATAAGATAGATGGAAATAAATAAACCATTCTGACAGCGAATGAAACTTTCAAAATTACCGAAAATATGTTGCAAAATCCGTGTTTACGGTGTTTTCACCTCACTTAGCTACATGTATGACGTCTCAACCGCTCAATTTTGACATCATGTAGCCTATAACTGTACTAAAAAAAGAAAAAAAAAATTCAAAGATTTTTTTTAAATGTAATAAACAGAAAAATTCAATGTTTTGTAGTTGAATATAGATTTCATTTCGCTCGCGAGACAGGATTTTTTGAAATGTTTTCACTGCTTCGCACTCGTGAAAATATCCAAAATCCTGTCTCCCTCGTGAAATAAATCCCATACTCAAATACAAAATTTTGAATATTCTCTATCTATTTTGCCTAAAAAGTGCTCTCAGAATCAGACTATTCCGTCAGTAAAATAATGATTCCATACATTCGCTCTAAACCTTACCCGGTGTTTTGAATTTTATACATTTGAACAGAGATTTTTCGTAAAATCATGTTTATCTCGGTATTTTCACAGCACTTTCCAAGTATTTTAGGACGCAAACTATCCATCTGTAAAAATCTAATGTTTTGACATATACAGCTTATTGGTGTTCTGTTGCATTATTTTTGTCACAAATGAGGAAAAGCTGACCGGGTACGTATATTGCTGTCTGTCTTTGAAAGAAAATATAATCGATGAAATTAAATTACTGTAAACCAACTTTTATTCGCGTGCGAGAAATATTCGCGAGTTTCGCTACTTACTTTAAATCGCGAATATTAATAGCCGCGGATTACGTATTTTTGCCTTGTGTGAGAAGAAAAGGGTTCCTCAATCGCGAAAATTGATCGTCGCGGATTGATTGCAGACTGACCAATCGCGAAAAAAAGATGACGCGAATAATAGTTGGTTTACAGTAGCATACCTGTTCTACTAACAGAAAGCCATACGATTTTCACAACATATTCACGATATTTGCTTTTAAGTTCCATCTTACGTATCTTTGTACATGTACATGCAGTCATAGTCAAATTCTCTTTACACGACATAATCAATTCCCAAGTTACTTGATGTACACATATGACGTCATCGGTAGTAGATTTTAATCAAAATGACAGATAACAGCATAACCAAATAATTACATTATATTTTTGTTAATGTTTACATGTTTCTATTCATTTTCTAGAGTTAAATTACCTCTCTAAATACAAATATTACAAAAGCTTCTATTCTAAAATTGACGTCATATGGCCTACTATGACGTCAACATTTAGCATTGATTTGTCAAAGTATAATATTTTGAATGCTTCCTTATTACCCATGCGTTTTTCTTCTCACGCATAAGATTTTGCACAAATTCTGCTTCATATACGAGGGTCGTTAGAAAAGTTCGCGGACACATTGAATTACGAAAAATCTATTGTTAAGTATGACCTATGTCTGAATAAATTCCTACATTATGTTTATGTGTATTTCAAAAATCAGGTCCATATAATAAAATCTTGAAAATTTACAACGATTTTACTATGAGGTTATGGGATTCACGGAGCAATCACTTGACGTAAGGCTACGTAACAACCAGATTTCAACCCGTTAACCTTTGTCGCAGTTCTATAAATCTTTAGATTTTTCTGATCTTTTTTCTACTTTAAAATTGAATATCTATACATGTATCAAAAGATGCTACTTTTCTTCGACAATGTCTATTGTACTGATTCGGATATTATTGAGATCTTAAAAAAAGTTTATGCAGTTAATCAGTTAATCGATCAGCCTCACGGTATGGAAACTATGCATCATCATATAGGCGCAACGCAACGTCCATGCGATACGGGGGTAATGAAGTATCGCTGGAGTTAATCTTTCAAAATGTCAATCCTTCCATTCTTATGAAGTACAGTGCTCCATGACGCTCAATGACGTTCCGATTTTTGGCTGTGTTTTTACGCAATGATCATACACAAACGGCTATAAAACAGTCATATACCCTCCAATTTAGTTCAATTTTTCTCCCAGAGATGTTTCATGAATACTTTAGCGGCAGGTAAAATATCATAAATCTCTTTGCGCTACAATTGTGCAATTTTTAATTTTATAAAGAGTCTTTGTGATGTAAACGTGCCAAAAAGTGACTTGCTCCGTGAAGCAAGATTTATCAAAATAAAAAAGCTGTATATTGTTTAATAATCACCTGAGAGAAAAAAAATCATTGTATATTTATTGGAATAAAGGTAAAGATTCTATCTGGAAAGTTTGACCGGTTTCATGGAAATAGCGTGCTCACAAAAGAACTTGTCCGCGAACTTTTCTAACACCCCTCGTATGAATAAAAAAAGATAGGTCTGCTTATAACGGAGCGCATTGTTATTTTACATGCACGAGTGTTCTTCCAGGAAAAAAATCATGAAGTACCTGATTTTTTTTTTATTTCTGCACACCTCAAGTACAAGCATTTTAAAAAAAAAAATTAAAAAAAATGATTGCCACAGTAATGATATCACTAAAACCTACACGTGTTTAATAAATACGTATGTCACTTCGGATGAAACCTTTAAAACTGAGGCTCCGTGTCATGATTGACTTTGACGCTATAAAAGTTCCTTACTGCTTAATGACTACAAATGTAAAGTAAAGGTCAAATTTTTAAGTCCGTCACCAGTATGTGGCGTTGTCTTTTTATAGGCGGAATGTACTGGAATAGGCTGAAAACAACATATAATCAACCAATCAATCAATCGAAAATACGAGAGGTGTGATATTGATCTAACTACAATTTGGCCAATTTAAAAGGTATGGCTCAACAGCTCAACAGTCGAATTTAGGGTGAGAGATTCTGGTCATTGGTTCACATTAATTAGGTCAGACGGGTTATATAGATGCTCAAAAACATTTCATTACCTTAACACGTGTATTGATATGACGTTCTGCCAGAGAGTAACAAAACAGAAAAAAACTCCCCAACCTGTCATAATGAAAGACCGAATAAATATGCCCTATTAAAACAGTGTTGCCTAGCATATGTTTGCCGAGTAAATATGCCTTATTCAAAACGGTGTTAGCTTGCATATTTGGTAAAAAAAAACCCCGAAATTATTATACATACAATTGTCAGAATAGTATCTCCATCCCTTTTCATCAAATATATGTGACGTGTAGATTCTTCGATGAGTACGACATTTCCTCAATTCTTCATTGTATCCAAAAAATCCACAATCGTTTTGACATACCCAAGAACATTCAGGAAATGATTTATTTTTATACTCCCCTATAAGTTCGTTATTTGACTTCTT